AGTGATCAGACACGGGAAAGTCCATCCGTGGCCCGTCGCAACCCGTTAACTACTGGATTTCCCCCAGTGTCTTTTAACTCCACTTCTGCGGCAGAGCAGAACGGGTTTGCCGACGGCTGCGGTGCGCTTCCCAGATGTTGTCGTCTGACTGCGCCCTTTTAATCCACCCAGCATTCGCACCATTGTGCACATGATTGCAGCCTATGACTGTGATTCTACTCATCTATAAGGTTGCACTGATTTCCACCAATTTCCACCTCAGGGCTTGGGAGAGCTCTCCAAAATGTGCCCATCCTCAGTGCCAGTGAGTGGTAGTGGAAAGGGCCGTCATGCCGCAGCCCACTGATGGTAACTGCCCTAGTAGGGTTTTCAAGGCAAGAAACTTTCAGAGGTGGTTTGCCGTTGCCTACTTTTGCTTAGCTAACTCTGGACTTCCTTGGTCGTCTCCCATCCAAGCACCAGCCAGGCTCAACCCTGTTTAGCTTCCGAGATCTGATGAGATGGGGCTACCCTGGGCTATCCAGGTCAGGGCACCACCACAGAAAAAGCCCTGCTATTACCAGGGGTCATTTCCTCTGCAGGAGCACGCAGGAGCGGAGCTCCGGCAGTAAAGAGCCCAGGGGGCGGGCACATGCAACAAGCCCCACCCCCTGCTCCCAGCAGCCCTCAGTCAGAGCAAGTAGCAGCCAGATAAGTTGCAGAGCTCCTCCCGGCCCAAAACAGTCCAGTGGCACCTTTAAGACCAAGTTTTATTCAGGTACAAGCTCTCCCTCCTCTGCAAGGACAGATCTGCACACTCCCCCCCCCAAAAAGCTAGCAATCCAAAAGAGTCCAGTGGAGCCTGAGTTGTGGGTGTTGCCTTCTGACACACTTCCGGTGATGTCAGGGGGTGTGGCATATGCAAATAAGTTATGCTAATGAGTTATGCTCATGAGCTCCTGCACCTCTTTTTCTACAAAATGACCCCTGGATTACAATATATACCTGCAGTCAACATCAAAGAAATCTCACTGTTTCTTAACTCTTTTCATATTGCCCCCACAACAGTGCAGTGGCTTTCTCTTCCAGCCCCCAGGGCTGAGGGCTGATCTCTAGAGCGCAGACGGTTTCTTCTGCCACAGTACTAGGGTTACCGGCCTCCAGGTGGGGCCTGGGGATCTCCCGCTTTCACAACTGATCTCCAGCTGACGGAGATCAGCTCCCCTGGAGAAAATGGCTGCTTTGAAGGGTGGGGACTAGTCTATGGCCTTGTACCATGCTGAGGCCCCTCCCCTCCCCAAACCCCGCCCTCTCCTGGATCCACCCCCAAAGTCTCCAGGTGTTTTCCAACCCAAACATGGCAACCCTATATGCAGTATGGAAATAAATAAATTAATAGAAGAAATGGTGTTCCTGATGACCTATTGGAAACGGGAACAGTACATTTTAATACTAAATAAGGAACCACTGAAGTCCTGAACTGCTGGGAAGCTTCATATATTCTAGATTCTCCCGCTTTCACAACTGATCTCCAGCTGACGGAGATCAGCTCCCCTGGAGAAAATGGCTGCTTTGAAGGGTGGACTAGCCTATGGCCTTGTCCCATGCTGAGGCCCCTCCCCTCCCCAAACCCCGCCCTCTCCTGGATCCACCCCCAAAGTCTCCAGGTGTTTTCCAACCCAAACATGGCAACCCTATATGCAGTATGGAAATAAATAAATTAATAGAAGAAATGGTGTTCCTGATGACCTATTGGAAACAGGAACAGTACATTTTAATACTAAATAAGGAACCACTGAAATCCTGAACTGCTGGGAAGCTTCATATATCCTAGATTGCTCTGACAATGTCATTACATCACATTTAGCTAGCAGATGCTATTTGTGTGATGCAGACCTTTGGGTTTTTTTAACATCCAGCATTCTCAAACCGTTTTTACCGGCCTCAGAACTCTGCAAGGAAAACAGTGGTGAGCCATTCTCCTCTTCAAAAGTTACAGAGTTCACAAAATCCTTTCACTTCTGCATTCTTCTATTTTATGTAGCCACCAGCAGGGGATGGGGGGTAGGGCTGCCAGATCCAGGTTGGGAAACTCCTGGAGATTTAGAGACTGAACCTAGGGAGGAAAGGAACCTCAGTGGGGCACGATGCCACAAAGCCCACCCTCCAAAGCATCCATTTTCTCCAGGGGAACTGATCTCTGTAGTCTAGAGATGAGGTATAATTCTGGGCCGCGGGGGATCCCCAAGGTCCCACCTGGAGGCGGGCATCCCTAGGTGGGAAAGTCAACATTTGTTGGCATTCAATACTTTTAATTAGCGGGATAAGTTTTCGGTTATCCTATTCTTATCCTGTCTTTCCTTCTTCTTACATGAAAATCGATAAGATATTCATAGGTAAACCACCCAGAACTAAAGTACCTAAAAATACATTGCCATTTGGCTGGAGGAGGCAAAAATGTCTGCATTCATTTCCCTTATTTGAAAAATGGAGATTGAGAGAGCATCCTTGATAAGACTAGTGGTGGGAGGCATAGACTATGTGCCTGGTACCCTCAACAGTGCAGCGCAGTGGTTAGAGCATGAGATTAGGATTGGGGAGACCAAGTTTCAGATCTGCACACTGTCATAAAGCTAATTTGGAGACCTCAGTCACACTGTCTCAACCTCTTACCTCACAAGGTTGCTGTAAGGACAAAGAGGGAGAACCATCTATATATACCCCCCCTGAGCTCCTTCGAGAAAAGGCAGGATAAAAATGCACCAGGTAAATAAAGGACGGGAAAGCTATACATGCTCAGCTGGGCTCCTTGGAGAGGAAGGGCATAGCAAAAAAAAAAGAAAGTAATAGATGCCATGTTCAATCCCTGGCTCCATTTTAAGGTTTGTGGGTAGCAGGACTGGAAAAGACCATTCTATGCCTTAAATCCTTTCAGGACACCTGAATTGTTGGACAATACTTGGCCTTCCAGGATCCTAGCTAACTATTGTTCTCCGTTTCAAGCTAGGCCAGTTGAGTCCAGAGGCACCTTTAAGACCAACAAGTTGTGTACTTGTTATGTCCGGGGTCCGGCATCAACTGGCCTAGTTTGCAATGGAGAACAATAGTTAGCTAGGATCCTGGAAGGAACCTATAGACCAGGAGCCACACTATAAATAGCCTATCACGGGTAGTGGGGGTGTGTGGTGTGTGGTGTTGTGCATGAATTTATGCAGGGCTTCGGTCCTGCTAGTTTGTCTTGTAGTTGAGCCAAATCACTGAATAAAGCATGAGGTGATCACTAATCGCGTGTCAAACCCAGTACAGATGTGTGCATGCACACGAAAGCTTGTACCCAGAATTAATTGTTAAGTCGCAAACTTAACAAAGAGTCGGAGAGTGATTCAGCAAGAATGCGGCTTTTATTCTTCAACTCAAACTCACTTCCAACACGGATCAACATCAGTCAGCCAGAACAGCTTTAACATAGCAGCTGCTCTGTATTTAAACATTCCCAGCTAATATAGCCACGCCTACTGTACATTTCACAACCAATGTGGTTGAACCTATAAAGGCCAATCACAAACGTTCCCGCTCAGGGAGCCTCTTCGCGGTGATTGGATATTACTTCCTGGGCTAGTGTTCCTATAGGTTACATTAGGATCCTAGCCCAGGACGAAGCTTTACATGAGGTGGCAATGGAATGATTCATGTTACATTTAGTACATGTATTCAAGTCAATTAGAATACACTACATTAATACTTTGTTGGTCATGAGAGTGCCACAGGACTCCCAACTTTTTGTTCTGTTGTTTCAGACCAACACGACTGCCCCACCTGAATCTGATTCAGTGTAGGCTGCTTCAGTTTTGCTAGGAATGGGCCAAGGGCCAGAGCAGGAATCTGTCCCTGGAAATGTGGTGGGGTCAAAACATTATTCCTGCATCTCCACAGATTTCAAGAACTGGCAAGAGCTACCTTGAGTCGCACCCTGCCCTCAGGTTGCCAGCAAGTGTGGGCTGCAGACAGCAAGCAGGCCACAAATTGAGGAGCCCTCAGTTGGACTTAAATTGGGACTCAGTTGGACAGAATTAATAAAAAAGGAAAGCAAGACCATCTCAGGCCAAAAATGGGACGGGGGTGCATTTAACTTGGCGTGCACACACACACAGGGTGCTTTAAGCCACAAGAAGCCTAGTGGGGTGCAGGGTTTCCAAGTCTGGGTAGGAAAATACCTGGAGACTTTGGGGGTGGAGCCAGGAGAGGGCGTGATTTGGGGAGGGGGGGCCTCAGCATAGTACAATGCCATAGAGTCCACCCTTCAAAGCAGCCATTTTCTCCAGGGGAGCTGATCTCTGTCGACTGGGGAACAGTTGTAAAAGCGGGAGATCCCCAGGCCCCACCTGGAGGCTGGCAACCCTAGTGGGGTGGACTGCTATACTGAGAGACCGTGTGGTTCAGAAAGCTGGATTTCAACGAATAAGCCCCACAAGGTCCAAATCCCCACTAAACGTTTCTTTCGTAATCTTGGATTGGCCACCAGCTTTCATCCCAGCCTACCTCACAGGGTTGTCGCGAGAACAACCCTGCAAGAACCTACTTCACCCCCACCCGCAGCTTTTTGAAGGAGTTATAGAATATTAGGGAGGCATCCCCCACCCCCGCTTGTACATCGTGTTTCTTGTTTGCTGGGGGGTTGTGAGCAGTAGGGGAGACGAGACGAGCTTCCAGCCAAGGGCCAGTGGGAGCAGCCAGTAAGGGGGATTTCCGGGATATAATGCTTAGTAGCAGCAGTCCCTGTAAGAGCCCTGCTGGAATACAACAGAGGGTCCCGTTCTAGTCTAGTCCAGCGTCCTGCCAACATGGATAACCCCTGTCCTTATTGGATTCTCTAATCGACAGCCACTGCTTTCCACTGAGACAGCCTGTGGTATGCTCCTTTCCTCCCCCTGGAGGGCTAAAATAAGCTTTTTAAAAGTGTGCTTGAATGTCCAGATCACTTGTCTTCTTGCCAGCGACGCGCGGGAGGAGGGGCGGGTGGGGGGGGGGGAATGATGCCCGGGACATAACCGCGCCTCGAGTTCGGTAAGTTGCGCGGAGAGGGGGAAGTCTGGCTGGGAGAGGAAGAGACGGGGCTGGCGGGGGCTGCTGGGCGGGGAGATCCAGCTGCAAAGAGAGGATGCGGCGGGGGGGCAGGGTGCCTCAGAAGAGGGAGAAGGCAGGAATTGTGAGCAGTAGGGGAGACGAGACGAGCTTCCAGCCAAGGGCCAGTGGGAGCAGCCAGTAAGGGGGATTTCCGGGATATAATGCTTAGTAGCAGCAGTCCCTGTAAGAGCCCTGCTGGAATACAACAGAGGGTCCCGTTCTAGTCTAGTCCAGCGTCCTGCCAACATGGATAACCCCTGTCCTTATTGGATTCTCTAATCGACAGCCACTGCTTTCCACTGAGACAGCCTGTGGTATGCTCCTTTCCTCCCCCTGGAGGGCTAAAATAAGCTTTTTAAAAGTGTGCTTGAATGTCCAGATCACTTTGTGTAGGTGATGTGGACCGTCCGTAACAACAACCCTGTGTGGTAGGTCAGTATTATGATTCCTCCGATTGGAGCTGGAAACGTTGAGACTGAATGAGCTCAGTTTCTAACCTGCTTTTAGACACGCCAATGATCTCACCCTCCGAACATCCCTGGAAGTTGCCCATTTGGCAGGAAAGGAACTTGAGGGTGAAAGCGAATGCAGTTTGCCCAAGGCCAGGCAGTGGGTGAACCAGGGCAGCATCATTTCAGATCTCCTAGGGAAAAAAGACCAGTTTGCTGTCCGCTAAGCTGTCCTGGTTCTAACACGAAACTATTCCTTGTTCTAGCCATAAGACACGAAAAGTGTACATTTTATACCATGCAATGGGGATATAATGCTTAGTAGCAGCAGTCCCTATAAGAAGAGCCCTGCTGGAATACAGCAGAGGGTCCGTTGTGGTCTAGTCCAGCCTCCTGCCAACATAGACAACCCCTGTCCTTATTTGATTCTCTAATCGACAGCCACTGCTGGAGGGTTAAAATAAGCTTTTTAAAAGTGTACTTGAATGTCCAGATCACTTTGTGTAGGTGATGTGGACCGTCCGTAACAACAACCCTGTGTGGTAGGTCAGTATTATGATTCCTCCGATTGGAGCTGGAAACGTTGAGACTGAATGAGCTCAGTTCCTAACCTGCTTTTAGACACGCCAATGATCTCGCCCTCCGAACATAGTACTTTTATCTCTTTTTCACAGTACAAGAACTGATAGGCACTCAAATGAAATTGATGAGCAGTCGGTTTAGAACAGATGAAAGGAAGTTCTTCTTTACCCAAAGAGTAAGTAACACATGGAATTCATTGCCATAGGAAGTAGTGGCAGCTACAAGCATAGACAGCTTCAAGTGGGGATTGGATAAACATACAGAGGTGAGGTCCATCAGTGACTATTCGCCACAAGGTATAGATGGCACACTGTGTCTGGCATAGTGATGCTCTGTATTCTTGGTGCTTGGGGGGCCCACAGTGGTAGGGCTTCTGGAGTTCTGGCCCTACTGGTGGACCTCCTGATGGCACCTGGTGAGACAAAATGTTGGACTGGATGGGAACATGGCTTCTCTTATGCTCTTATGATAAAAACCAGAGGAAATAAATTGAACTTTGTGGCTTGAAATGATTACTATTTTTATAGAGGTTGTGTTCTTAAGAACTCTGGGTATGGAAGCAATGGTAAAGTCAATCCTCTTTTGTAACAGTGAGTGAGTGGTTTTCAGATTAATTAAATATTAAGTTATTTATTTTAAAATATTTTACCCCATCTGCAGGAGTCAATAATCATCCTCAATGTGGAACCTTTTGAGCAAATACTTATTTTCAAACATGTGACAGTTGATCAGAGGTCCAAAATGAGGATATCCTTAAATAGAAATGGGTCACCAACCATTAGTATTGTTAGAAGTTTAAGTGAAGTATATTTGAAGAGCCCTACAAATCAAAACAACTTTTGTAAATGAATAAAATCCCCATAGGATGGGAGTGAGGAATTTCAGTGCAGTGTGGGAATTGTGGATTCTTCCTTACCAAAAAAAGTCTCCTTGTTCAGGATTCTTGATGCTTTCAGGAACTTGGTTTCCCAGTTGTCCTTTCTTTTCCTTTAACTAACTCTCAGCTGTGTTCAACATGTTGTACTCCTGGAACATGTCTAGTCACCATCAAACTGAGTTGTCTTCTTTTGGTTACATTTGGAAGTTTTGTTTTCTTATACCTGGGAAATCTCCTGAATAGCTAGAGACCCCGACTTTATTTGTGGGTGGTCTTGTTGCTTTTATAATTGCCATAAGGGACAGCCACGTTCTCTGTGGCGTATGCTGATGATGCTTGTAGAATCCCTAAGACTATTTATTGTCTCTCTAATCTCCTCCCCCCCAGGACCACTCAGCCTCCTGGCTCCTAATATGGAGCAAGAGGAAGACTTGGCTACACAAAATTCCAAGGATATATCCAAGACTCCTATTCGACCCATCCTAGATGGTACAGAGGACCTTATGGGAGAGACAGCCCCCTACAAGTGTTCCATCTGCAGGAAGAGCTTTGCAAAGACTTCTAATCTTGTCCAGCATGAGAAAATCCACACGGGTGAGAAGCCCTACAAGTGCTCTCACTGTGGCAAAAGGTTCACTCGGAGCAACAACCTGGCAGAGCACGAACGAATCCATACAGGAGAGAAACCTTACAAATGCCCAGAGTGTGGGAAGACTTTTAACCGCAGCTCGATCCTCCTCAGACACCGGAGGATCCACACAGGAGAGAAACCTTACAAATGCACCAAGTGTGGGAAGAGCTTTGACGAGAGCGCGAGGTTACGTGTACACCAGAGAACCCACGTGACGGAGATGGCCTTTCTCATCGACAGCAATGGGGAGGCCACCGCCATCACAGCCAGCGGCATGGCTCACAGCTGCTCCGACTGTGGCAAAACATTCAGCCTGTACTCCAATCTCCTGAAACACCAAAGAATCCATACGGGGGAGAAGCCCTACCGGTGTGGCCAGTGTGGCATCAACTTCAGCGAGGCCTCTAACCTGGTTCGGCACCAGCGGTACCACGCGCGGGACAAACCCTACCAGTGCCCCATGTGCCAGAAAAGATTTGGCCAAAGTTCGCACCTGATTCAGCACCAGAGAATCCATACCGGGGAACGGCCCCACAAGTGCCCCGACTGTGGGAAGAGCTTCATTGAGAACTCTACCCTGAAGAAGCACCAGAGAATCCACACTGGGGAGAAGCCCCACCAGTGCCTGGAGTGCGGGAAGAGCTTCAGCCTCAGCTCCCACCTCGTGACACACCAGAGGAGCCACACGGGAGAGCGGCCCTACAAATGCGAGGACTGCGGCAAAGGGTTCACCGATACGTCCTCGCTCATTATCCACCGGCGAAGCCACACGGGGGAGAAGCCCTACAAGTGTGACGTGTGTGGGAAAGGCTTTGTCCTGAGCTCTGTTTACCTGAACCACCACCGGACTCACACCGGGGAGAAACCTTTTGGGTGCCCTGACTGTGGCCGGGCCTTCCGCCAATGGTCACAGCTGGTCATCCACCGGAGACTCCACACAGGGGAACGCCCTTACAAATGTCCTTACTGTGACAAGGGATTCTGCGACAGCTCCACCTTGACCAAGCACAAGAGGACTCACACCGGAGAGAAGCCCAATACGTGTACAGAGTGCGGGGTCAGCTTTGGCTCCAAAGCACTGCTTTTAGCACACCAGACGCTTCACGGGGAAGAGACAGCCTCCTTAGACATCCTCTAGACTGCAAACAGCCCACTCAGTCCTTGTCATACATACAGTATTTCATGCATAGGGAAATGGTGGGAACTCCACCTGGTGGAAAGGTGTATGGAACCAGCTGTGTTCTTTAACTTCCAGGCCCAGGGCTATTTTGGGGCAGGAACGCACAGGAACGGAGTTCCGGCTGGTTCCCAAGTTGGCCACGCCCAGCAGGAACTCGTTAGCATAATAGGCCACACCCAACAGCAGGAACTCATTAGGATTGGCTACATTAGGGGTGTGTGGCCTAACATGCAAAGGAGTTCCTGCTCCAAAAAAAGGCCCTGGGGTTTGACCACAAACAAGGTAAACAGAATAACAAGCAAAAGGTGGGTGTGGCTGGATGACCACACTTCTGGTAACACGTGGGTGCGGCCTAATGTGCTAATGAGCTGTGCTGTCAGGGGTGTGGCCCAATATGCTAATGAGTTCCTGCTGTTGGGTGTGGCCTATTATGCTAATGAGTTCCTGCTGGGCTTTTTCTACAAAAAGAGCCCTGTCCAGGCCTATTAAACATGGCAGACTGTGACACCCATCCCCTTACTAGAAGGTGTGTAGGTTGCTAGGCGTGCAAATAGGTCTGCGATGGTTGGGGGGGGGATTGAAAAAGATAGCTGCTAATATCACACAGGTACTTCTGCCTCTTGAAAAGATCATCATCGTTCCCTCTGTACCGTCCCTAGGACGATGTGGGGTCAGAGAGACACTCGGTATGAAAGTCTGCAGGTTCCCATAGTCCATTATTTTACCCTCCTTTTTGGGTGATGCCTTTTCTTTCTATATCAGCAAAACAGTTCAGGTGAAGGGGGGGTGGAATGCCCTGACCTGGATAGCCCAGGCAAGCCCTATCTTGACAGATCTCAGAATCTAAGGAGGGCCGACTCTGGCAAGTACTTGGATGGGAGACCTCCTTGGAATACCAGAGGCAGGAGGCGGGGGCAGGCTTTATTCAGCCACCTCTCTGAAGATCCTCCAGGCCCCCAGTAGGGCTCAGTCACCTGAGGTCACCATCAGTGTTCCCTCTAAGCCGAGTTAGTGTGAGCTAGCTCACAGTTTTTTAGCCTCCGGCTCACACATTTTTGCCATAGCTCAGGAAGGATGGCTCCAGAGCAAACTAATTTATGCTCATAACTTTAATGCCAGTAGCTTACAAAGTAGAATTTTTGCTCACAAGACTCCACAGCTTAGAGGGAACATTGGTCACCATGACTTCCAGGTGAACACACACACAAAATACAAAAATACAATTTTTCAAAAAATTCATTGGGGGGGCAGGCTTTCAGAAAGGTTGGTGGTGAGTATATAAAATGCTTTCCTGAAGGTTAGCAGAGAGAACCCTTTAAAGAAATCATTGTTGAAAAGGCCTAGTTGAAGGCCTCTCTCCTTTTCCGGCTTGGCATAAGATTTTGGAGTTAAGAGAATAGCAGTATACCAACTTGAAGAAGTAATAGTGTTGCTGCTGCTGTCTTTCCACCTGGTGCTGTGAAATATCATTATCCCTCGTCCTGAGGTGGTTCCTTTCATACCAAAAAAAAGAAAAAAAGATTCAAAGCTGTTTCTCAATTTGTATTTTTAGAAAATGGCAATTTTGGGTTAGACTGGATTCCCCAAACGGCTTTGCAACCAGCTGCTATGTTTACTTTTTAAAAAGAGCAGATTATTCCAGTCTGACATAACACATGTTCAGGTGGGGTCGCCATGTTGGTCTGAAGCGGCAGAACAAAGTTTGAGTCCAGGGGCACCTTTAAGACCAACAAAGTTTCATTCAAGATATAAGCGTACAGGGCTGGCTCGAGGTTTTTCGGTGCCCTAAGCGAAACTAGCGCCCCCCCAGGCGAGGCTGCCTTGTGGCGACCCCCTCTCACCTTGTGTCTCCCCCCCGCCGCCGCATGCCTCTCTGGCGCTCAAGACGGGTGCTAAGCTGGCGCCATCAGGTGTGGGGGAGAGGGGGCTACAAGGCTCTTCAGAGGGTGGCCCTTCTGCTTCCCCCCCCCCCGTCTCCTTCCCCCCTGGGGAACTGGGACCCTCCCCAGCTGCGTGTGCGCTGTCCCTTTGCAGCGGCCCCCCGATCAGGGACTAGATGCATGAAGGGCTTTTGGCAAGGGGGGCTTTTGGCGGTGGGAGGCTTTTGGCGGTGGGGGGCCGGGTGCAGTTTGGCGCCCCTAAGGGCCGGCCCGCTCTAGGCGAATGCCTAGTTTGCCTAGTGAGTGAGCCGGTCCTGTTCATGTATCTGAAGAAGTGCATGCACATGAAAGCTCACACCTTGAATAAAACTTTGTTGGTCTTAAAGGTGCCCCTGGGCTCAAACTTTATAGTACATTTTGACTTCCATCCTCTCACAGTTTGGTCAACTTCATCTGCAAAGTCTTTTTCTCTGAGGTTTCCTCAGTCGGCTTGCAAGAGGCTAGGCGCTAGAATTAGTCTGACCTCTTTGCAAGGATGCGGCTATTTCAGCCCAACACCACATCCTGGGGGGCCGTTTAGCTTCCTCCTTGCAGGGCTGGTGTTTTTGAGAAGGGGGGGGTCCAGTGTATTTCAGAGAATGCCTTAGGGGGGAAAGAAGCTGTCGAAGTGTGTGTGTCACTTTAGCCTTAAAACCCTTCTCGCTAGGACCTCATCGAGTCCAGCGGTTCTCACAGTTTGGCTCACAGAGAGCCACATTCTCAGTCACCATCAACTGAAAGAGCCACATAACCACCCCACCAAACACACACGCACACCACCAAACACACACGCACAAAACACCACCCCACCAAACACACACGCACAAAACAATATTAAGTATTAATATTAAATGAGTAACGGTAACCTTTTAAATGACTGGAACGCCTCTGCCCGTGTGTGTCTCCTTACCACTGCTGAATCTTAACCTGCCCCAGCCTGAGAGGCCTACTGTCTCTCCTCAGCATGAGGCGCGGCTGCTCAGCCAAGGAAGAGCGAAATCTGCCAAGTCGCCTGAAGGAGAATGCTGTAGTTGGGAAGAAAGAAGAGTAAAACCACCCCTCGCCTCCCCACTGTGGCCAGCTTACTCTGTTGCCGGGTGACTGCCATGGTGGTAGCTTGACTTTCTGTTCTCTGTGACCAGTTTGCTCTCCTCCCAGCCGCGTGCTGGGATGAGAGGGCAGAGGCTGCGGAGAGAGGCAGGGGGTTGTTGGAGAGCGAGATCTCTTTACTCCCTACCACAGGGCCCACTAAGCAAGGAGCCTCACAGCTCACCCATCCAGTCCCTCGGGCGGCAGCTTTTAGAGTGGGAATCACCTCCCAAACATAGGGCCTACCAGACCACAGCCTTGCCCACTTTCCAAACCGGGGAATGGCACTCTGAAGAGATGCAGTGGGCCCTGGCCTGGATACCCCAGGCAAGTCCGATCTCATCAGATCTCAGAAGCTCAGCAGCTTGGATGGGAGACCTCCAAAGAATACCAGGGCCGGGAGGCAGAGGCAGGCTATATCAGTCACCTCTCTGAACGTCCTCTGTGCCCCACTAGGGGTCACCAGATGTTACGATGGCTTCCAGGCACGGGCACACGCACAAAAATACGAAAAAGATGCAGTGGCCTCAGAGTCACAAGAGTATTGCTAATTTAGTCAAACTGTTAAATCCAATACAAGCTTTCTGATCACTTGTAAAGATTCCCGATTAACCGGGCGGCAGGCGTAAAGAGTAGCTAATTATTTTTCATGCCATTGTTTGCAGAAGGCGGAAAGGGCAGACCACCTCTGTTCATGTCTTGCCTTGAGACCCCCCATGAAGGGGAACTTCTTGGGGTCACCATCAGTCGGTTTTTATTGTTGTCAAAAACGGTGGGTGGCAGGTGTCGTGCTGGAAAAGGCAAGCTCTTCTCTCAGAATAAAAGGCCACCTCCAGGGTAACGCCTGTATCTGTCTTAGTGTTCCAGCAGCAGCGTTATTTACATCCCACAACCTCTTTAATAATGTGAAGGACAATTATAACTATAACCAGGAGTCATTTCCTGCAGGAGTGCACAGGAGCGGAGCTCCGGCAGTAAAGAGCCCAGGGGGCGGGCACATGCAACAAGCCCCACCCTCTGCTCCCAGCAGCCCTCAATCAGAGCAAGAAGCAGCGTAAATTGCAGAGCCCCCCCCCCGGTCCAAAACAGTCCAGTGGCACCTTTAAGACCAAGTTTTATTCAGGTACAAGCTCTCCCTCCTCTGTGAGGACAGATCTGCACCTTCCCTTCCCCAATAGGTAGCAATCCAAAACAGTCCAGTGGAGCCTGAGCGGTGGGTGTTGCCTTCTGACACACTTCCGGTGATGTCAGGGGTGTGGCGTATGCAAATAAGTTATGCTAATGAGCTCCTGCACCTCTTTTTCTACAAAATGACCCTTGATCTATAACCCTAAATACACAACTCTGCAAAAAAAATAAAATAATAAATGCTGTAAGCCCAGGCTAGCCCGATCTTATCAGATCTCAGAAGCTACGCAGGGTCGGCCCTGGCCAGTGTTTGGATGGGAGACCTCCAAGGAATACCAGGGTCATGACACGGGGGCAGGCCATGGCAAACCACCACTGAATGTCTCTTGCCTTGAAAATCCTACGGGGTCCCCATAAGTCAGCTGTGACTTCCTACCACCAAGAGCTACAAGATTTTTCAGACCAAGCCTAGCCGTTCCACATTCCTTGTATAGGCCAACCCCCAAAATTAAACCTCAGTCTGGTTTTTTTTGTAATGCTCACATCGTGTCTCGAGAAGACTGTCAACCATCGGGAAAGCCCCTTTTTCTTTTGAAATGATTCTTTGTTGGAGGGAAATGCCTGCACTTCCCGATATTTTGCAAACACCAACTGTGTAGCAACACTTAAAAATAAACCCAGCTTTGAAACTTCATGGAGATTCACGGGCTTACTAAAATCCGGTCGTAAAAAGGCTGAGGCAGAAGTTGGATCCTACGCATAGCAAAAATTGTTGCACGAGCCACGTCCTGGGAGATAGCGGCTTCAATGTGGGGAGGAAGTCAGCTCCATCCTGCCGCCAGTACGAGCAAACACCTTTTTTATTTGAGCACTTTCCCCCCTACCCTGACCTGGATAGCCCAGGCTAGCCTGATCTTGTCAGATCTTAGAAGCTAAGTAATGTTGGCCCTGGCAGGTATTTGGATGGGAGACCTCCAAGGAATACCAGGGTTGTGACACGGAGCCAGGTAATGGCAAACCACCTCTGAACATTTCTTGCCTTGGAAACCCGACAGTGGGTCACCATGAGTCAGCTGTGACTTGATGGAACGTCCCATCCCCACTTTCCCCTCTGGTAACATGCCTCATACCCCACTTCTTCATGCAGCCCGGATCTCCAAACTGGGTGCATTCATGCCGGTATAGATGCCGGTTAAGGAGCTGTGGTGGCTCAAGTGGTTAAGACGCTGAACTGTAGGCTGTGGTAGTTCAGCAGTTCGAGACCCGAGTGTGCCACATGACGGAGTGAGTTCCTGTCTCTCGTTCCAGCTCCTGCCAACCTAGCAGTTCGAAAGCAAGAAATTGCAAGTAGATAAATAGGTACCACTTCGGTGGGAAGGTAACAGCGTTCCGTGCACCT